GGTGCCCTGAAGCAAGGGGGAAAGAGCGGTTCTCCTTCCCGCGAACGCACCCCAGAAGGACAACGTGACGATGGCGCGAACGCCACTTCCTTTTCCTCCTAACCGCCTGGCCGCGCGAGTGACCGGAGCAGACCACTAGACGTGCTGCTGCGCACCTAGTGTTCAGCCCTGAGCGAAACTACATCTTTACCTTTTGTTTTGGAAAGAAGGCTCCGTTATTTTTTTTCCCATGGACTTTATTGCGCTGTTGTTAATTTATGTTACTTCAAAAGAGTTGTAAATTTATAGAAAAGAAAAATCTCAGAGGTTCTTCTTGTACACCCCCCAAACTGGGGTCCTACAGAAGGCAGGAATACTAGACTGCCCCTTTTGACCCTTTCGGATGGTCAGGCCGAATATTTTGTATTTTGACCTCTACTTAGCAATGCATTTCAGAGGTCTTGACCACTTTAAAATAGTCGGCGGAACTGCAAAATTTTGGTTTCCTTAGGTTTCATGGAGAAGTGTGCACGGTAAAAACAATGTCTGTTTCTTTTGTTTTCTTTTTTAAGGAAATTGGGAGAACTTTTAGGAACTCCCAAATTTGAGGGAGGGAACCCCGTCAGATCTCGCCTCAGATTTTGAGAAATCTCAAAAATTGAGGGAAAATGCCACATTTTTTTCTTCAAAATCTAAGGATTTTGCCTAAACCAAGGGAGTTCCTCGTCCCCTAGTTTTTCCATTTCCCTCAAAATATCAGACATTGTGTTAACCGTGTCTGTCAGCAGTTTACCCTTGCTAGGTCGGCCGTCTTGGCTTCTGAACACTCTCTCACTCACCGGGTACTAAACATCAGTTTGAGCAAACACTACTACTCCTCGACCGAAGCGCGCACTCGCAGGGCAGAGTATAAAGGTGATGACATTTCGTGGCGTGGCCTGGCGGTGCCATTCTCTTGCGTTATGTCAGATTCCCCTACATGCTGTTGTGATAATGAGGAGGTACCTCGGGAGGTACCACCGCACAGACTGCTGCGATGGATGGCGGTCATTGGACTGTAAACATCGTAAAGCAAAAGGTTTGCGACGAGGTGTGCAGCCCGTGTGGCCACACTGGCGACTGTCCCCTGCAGGAGCAAGAGGCGGTCAAGTGTGGTCACGGACCTGGCCAAACTATTAGCCAACGAGGCCTTAATGTGGGAGGAGGAGAGGGGCCTCTGTAAGGCGTCTACGCCCCGCCACGCTCACCTCCCACATGATGATCGTCTCGATGAGGTACTCTTGTTTGTCGTCGCTAAGCGGCCTTGGTGTGCCCACTATTTTCTCGGACGCGACTCGTCACCACTTATCCGAGGCGATGGACTGGACTAGGCCGTAAACAGTCGCACAAACAACGCACTACCAATGAAAGTGCGTGGGCGACATTTCAGTGCGTAGTAAGAGCGTGATAAAGGACTCAGTGAAAAAGTTCGTGGTTGGTTAAGCCCCACGTCGCACACAGAGAAATTAAGGCATGTCATGTGACATTTGCAATTAGTCATTATCGGTTTGCGTCGGTTTGGGAGAAAGTCACCAGTAACACGCGGTATAGCCAGTACCTGCAAGGGCTTCGCAGATCATAAAAATTACTTACAATTCATTATAACAAAGCCCCCCTAAATCTCTCGCTAAATGCAGGCCACGTTGTATGAATGTTTCCGTGAGGAACACGTTGCATAGCTGGGAAAACTAAGACCACGTCAATTCAAAACAAAGACCTGAAAGCTCTGCTATGTACTTTTCATCTGTCCTGCTGTGTCGCATTTGTTATTTGGAGAAATACACGTGCGCTGGCAGAAAACTAGTACTGAATTTTCTCAAAATGAGCAGTGGGTCTCTTTCGGGCCGATGTTGCTGACGCGTTCGACCCCCTCCCCCGTGGCGACCTTGATGATCCGCCACTGGCTTAGCTCTATAAACGGATTGCAGTTGCGCGGCTTGACCGGGGCTTGACCACAGCCCTGGCCGGTCCACGGGGTGGTGCCGCTGGTGCCGCTGGCGCCGCTGGCCCGGGACCCTGGCGACCACAAACACACTACTGCACCGCGGTGGTGGCCGACGCGCGCGTGGTCTGCGCTGGACTGGACGGGTCACCCGAGGGTCACCGCCGGTGATCGCAGCGGGTCGCGGAGGTCGCGGTCCAGGCCACGCCGGGGGGGTCGGCGCCTTGCCCCCCGCATCGAGTGATGAAAAAATAGAATGTGACGGGAGTCAGAGACCAGGACAGGGTCCCTGGTGACGTCGTCGTGCGGCCGACTGGACCATCGCGACTGACCGCAGGATCCGCGGGTGAGTAGGTGTCATGGTCTGTGATGAGAGAGTGTGTGGACAGGTGAGGTACAATACGGTACCGTACACAATACGGTTCGATGCTTGGGCTTGGAGGAGCTTAAGGCACTTAAGGTATGATCCAGAACAAACGTCCGTCATTTGTCGTTCCGAAACTGCTCATTTTAGCCGACGAAAACTCTCGTGGTGCCTGATAGGTATGCAGCACCATGCCTGCAAGGCATTCGTGTACAGCGGGATGGCCTACCCTGAGACTCGCAGGCGCTTAGCTTCCGTAATTGTGCTGTTTTGAACTGAGAAAAACGGACGCATTTTTTTGGGCAATCCCTTGTGTGTGAGATAAATAAAATAAATTCTTGGATTGCGAGTAGACATTGGAATGGTGAGGTTATGTACAGAATGTCTAAGGGACCATTCTGAAGCTGTACTAGTGCTGTGCGTTTTGCAGGCGTAGGTGGGTCTGCCACTCATCGCAAGCAACTATTGCGTGCTATGGCCCCAAGCTAGCAAACAGAGGTACTGGAACACTTAACCGGTTTTGTGTCTTTTATTTGTGCAAAGTTCAGCGAACGCAATTTGTTTCACTAATTTCTGGACACTTTGGTGCATTCATTTGTACGAAGAAATGCATTTTCGCAAACAAATTTATCAAAAACATATTTACTTTAGCACGAATTTTTGTATACAAACACACAAACAAAGTTAGATTGAGGACTCTCCATAGACTGGAAAGACAAACGTAAAGACTTGAAACCCTTGAGGGGCGCATATTAGTTTCATTCTTTTGTACCCCGGCTCGCCGACAAGCAATAAACGATAAATGTATTTAAAACATATATGTTTTGCACAAATGATCGCACTAACTTGTACCAACGTTCAACGTTTCGCTTTGGACGGATT